GTCGGTGGCATAGTGGTTAGGCTCTCAGGCTCGAAACCGTAAGGTCGTGGGTTCGAATCCCGTCAGGGACCCGACGTTTTGTCCTTGGGAAAGGTATTTAACTCGAATTTCCCTTACTTCACCCAGATAGGAATGGGTACCCAGCTATAGACAGCAAAGATCTTGTCAGCTGCTTGCACTGTATGCTTCCCTGGAAGCTGAGAATGTTTCAGAGTTTTCTATGGTCTGCAGGGGTAATAATATAGCGTAAAGCGCATAGAGCCTGCTGTTGAGCGGGGTTATGCGCTATACAGATGCCATTTGTTATTATTATTGTTGTTTTTGTTGTTGTTGTTGTTGTTATCATCATCGCCATCAATCATCATTATTAACGTGGGTGCTTCGCGGGTGCTTTGGTGTGGTTTGCTCCTTCTCTCTTATCAAATATCTATCGTCCTGATCTCCCGTCCCCCCCCCCCTTTTTGTGTCTGTTACTCTCTTGTAACACTTCTAATCTTCGGCACTTGTATGACCTCATTGTGTTGCGAGCGCCGTAAAACTCTTACTAAAACTAAAGCGCGATCATTATGATGGCCTTTTACAATGCGAACCACGTAAAATCGTTTACCAAACCAACCTGACCTCTGACCTGTGCTCCTTGACCTCAAACCTCTAACCTGTGACCTTTGCCCTCTCCCCCAGGTGGCGCCAGCATCCCCATGGAGGACCCTGCCCTTGAGCATGAGCTGTTGGAGCTACAGGAGAGACTGCGCAAGTCGGAGAACCAGAACCGTCTGAGGGAGGACGAGTTGTACGCTCTGTTGTCGCATATGAGGGGCAACTCTAGTGGTGGGGCGCTTATCTCACGGGGCAATGTGTCCACTCGGTGAGTACATGAGAGAGAGAGAGAGAGAGAGAGAGAGAGAGAGAGAGAGAGAGAGAGAGAGAGTGTGTGTTATACGCCCTTCTGTCTCACGGGGTATATCGGGAATGTTTCTAGTCTTTGAGTTTGCTGTTGTTTTGTTTCCTTAATGGGACTGGTGGACTCCGCGAAGAAATGGTCGCGTTTTGAGGACAAGCGGGCTAACCCAGATTTCAGGAGTTTCCAGAAATCTTGACCTACACCAAAAGTAGGCATTGCCCTACCTATAAGAGAAGTTTGGTTTCAATGGTGTGTATATTTGTTTGGTTATAGAGAAAACTCTCCTTGTCTTTTAAAGAAACTGAACAAAGGTCCAAAAATTTTACCATCCATTTTCTCAGAACATAATTTTTCGGGATAGCCCCCTTGTGCTTAAAAGCGACCAAATCTTTGAGCGAGAGCGATGCTCTTTTTCGGCTCCGTTGTCATTATACTCAGAGGCACCTCCACTCGTCCAAATAACTCCGTTCGAGTTGCCATTGTTCCTGGACACTCAAACATATTATGTTTGACATTCTCCTTTACATGGCCGCATCTTCGGTAACGTATATTGAGCTCTTCATTCACAAAGTTCTGATACCATCTCAAGCTCCAATAATGGTCCGACCGCAGTCTCGCTATCTCAGACTGTTGTTGTTGTTGCTGCTGCTACTTCTGCTGCCGATGGTGGTGGTGTGTGTTCGAGGGAAAGGGAGGGGGGAGGAGGGGGGTGCTTGGAAAAATTCTATAACGGCATAGCCCCCCCACCCCCACCCCCACCGTCCCAACTCTCCACCCTTATCA